CGTAACCATAGAGAATATATAATCAAACCATACCAAACAGTATTGAAAAAAAAAAACTTTTCAAAAACTAAGTATTTCACCAATCATGTGCACGGAGTTGAATACAGTTGTTACTATAGTTGAACTGCTTAAAAATGTTTTATGTATCAAATTCTATATAAATACCAAAAATAAAATAATTTAAATTAATACAACAAAGTGCGAACAAAAACTTTTGAAATATATGTATTTCAAATAAAAAACAAATTTGAATTAAACATTAAATTAATACAGTAGCGACTTACCAAATTTTGATATGTAAATCAGGGACGTGAACGAGGAAATTTTGAGGAGAGAGTTATATATTTTATGCTTAATTATAATAATATAAATATCAATTGCAGGAAAAAACATAACTATAGAAAAAAACCAGAGTATTGTGGAAAAAATAGGATTACTCCAAAACTTCCCCTTGGCACTCCTCTGATAGTAATCGACCAAAATAGCAAAATTACGTAGTTTAAAACATTACACGCTCATAAATTTGTCGAACAACATATTTATATCAAATGTGTATATATTTTATTTTCTATACAGTGAGTTCATCGATAAAGGTAACACGAAATATTTCCAACGCATTACCTTGTTATTAATTCGAGTTTTTTTTATCTGTAAAATTACTTAATTTACACTTATTTTTGAAAAATTAAATTTTTTTTACATTTTTGTCTCGCGCGAAATCAAACAAATATTTTTTTAATAGTAACCTCTATTTTTGAATTTATATTTTCATTACATTATTTTTTTTAAATAATTTTGACTTAAAAAGTTTTGTTCATCTTGAAAATTGACCAATTGAGAAAGTGAGTAAGTCTCGACATACAGATGCGTATTTATCGTATTTTTCAACAGTCTATCCACGGTTTTGCTATAAGTCATGTGGTTTCTTATAATTTTTCTGAAAAATTAATTACACTGTTTTCATGTACATAACATTTACATTATTTGCACACCATTATTAATTTAAATAATTTACTCGTATGGCACATGGGTAAATTTATAGATGATTAACGAAATAATTCTAAACAAATTTACAAATATAATTATTTGTAAATATACAATAATATAAAATTTTTAAAATATACAAATAATATTATTCTAAATTTAATTAATCTGAAAAACAAATTTTTGATTTTAATAAACTATTTAATTATAGTCTAAATGTTATATTATAAGCTGATAATTTTGGTTTTATTTCTATCAAAATTATTTTGTCTCTAAACATCTTTTGTTAAAATTCTTGAATTATAACGTAATTTTAAATTATTAGATTCAACCAAATGCATTAAGATAAAATATTCTAATATTTGCTTTACGTTTTGATGACTTTTATTATTATTTGTCTTGGAGAAGAACAATTGAGTGTAGAATATTTTATTCGACATTGTCACGTTCACTTTCTCGAAATTTTGTAACATTTATTCTTCACATTATTACACCAATTATTAAGATACTAAACTTAAACGAGCCGCAAGCCGAGGGCCGAGCTCAGCTTTTTCAGCAACGTTATCGATTGATTTAATGGAATAAATATTTTTTTTATCCGTAATATACTGACATTTTAAACATTTAACATTGAAAGAAAATATAATCTTATTTCGATATTATCATTCGTGTGCAAGCAGTTCGATAGTGTGCATTCTTTTGTACATCGCTCCCGGATGCACTCTCCGAACCTTTTACCAAATGGAAAATGCTATGTTTTATATCAATCGACGAAATACTTAGCTCTATTACTATCAACTCGCATGCTGACCCACCTTCAGAATAATACTCCTTTAAATAGAGTAATATATTCTATTTTATCTTATTCTATTATATTTTATTCTATCTATTTTAATATATTATTACTATTATTTTATACATGTGTAATTTTCATTCTGCTATTGCTACAAAACACATTGCAATTATAATTCTATAACATTAATCAGACCATAGATGCCTCCATGTGCGGCGACCTTTGGACCTGGACAATACTGATGACATGGCCCCTGGAACTGTATCCCCAATTAAAATCATCAATAAAACTAGTAAAACAATGAAAATAAAAATAAACGTAACTTATCTACATCATCTACCCTATCGCAATCACCGTCATTTATGGCTAATATAAAGAAATCGAAATTATTTGTTATACCAAACAGATATACCGCTTTCTCCACAGAAGAGAAGGCCGTAAGACGTTTGGGCACAGATCGATATTTTTACTTGAAATTCGGGAGAACGATTGGGAACTCACGTTTAGGTACACTTTTTTTCAGACCACAAAAATCAATACAACGTTTGGGTACATAATATTTTTAAATTAATACTATGTTTGGGTACCATGTTTAGGTACACATTTTTATATTTTAATAATTTCATTTGCTTATCTATATTTATTTATTTTATTTTTTAGAGCCTATTAGCGTTACTCAAGAGACACCACGAGGAGGTTGGCTCATAGTCTCCCAAAAATGTTTATTGTTTATTTATTTAACTATATTATTTTTTTTTCTGACAAAATGTGGACCAATGTCATATGGATAATTCCTTATATCATTTTTAACTTTAAACTCATTGTATTTTTTAAAATATACTCAACGTTATCTGAATCCTCTTTTCTTATAATATTTTTTATATTTTTCTTAATACTGCATATCTTTAAATAAGTTTCTTCTTGAATTTCCATCAACGTATTGATTATATTAAAACAAATTTGATGGCTTGTATAAAACTGACTATTAAAGTCTCGATGAAATGATTAAATTTGTAAAGTTATATACTCGTAAACATATGTAATATTATATTGATGCAGGTGTAATAAAGATTATAGTTAATAACAACTATCAAGAGTATAAAACGTATAAATTCGTAGTCGCAATAATATTAACGGTTTGGAGATAAAGTATCGAGCAATAAATTAATATACCACTATTGTAGATTACGTGTTTATGACGTGTACCCAAACGTTCTCTGATTTACCAGGTAAAAATATAAAATACCTTTTATTTTGTGTCCAAACGTTATGTTTATTTGTACCCAAACGGGTTGGATTTTGAGTCAAATTCCGATTTTGTGACCAAACGTTCATCGCCCGAAGAATACCGTCGAGAACATCGATAATCTATCAATCAAAACAAGGGGCAGTCATATACCACTAATAATACACCAAAAACTACTTTACCCCCAACCATTCTTATTGAAGGGATTCTTGATTATGTGGGTCTACTAAATCACGTAAATCGGACCAAATACCTTCTCGTGCAAATCTACCTCAACTAATCTAAAAGTTCAAACTGAAACCCTAGACGACTATAAAAAAATTACTACTCGTAGTTTAATGAAAAATATTGATGGGCAGTTCCACACATATCAGCTTCAACCAGATAAACCTTAAAGTGCCATCATAAAAAACCTGTACTCGTCCACTCCAAAAACTAAAATCACTACACTTATAGAATAAATAGGCCACACTATGAGAAATGTCACCAGTGTTGAACACCATCAAATGAAAACCTCGTTGATCATATTCTTTGTTCGACATTGACCTTAATGGAAGTGTTAGCGATACATTATTTATTTATTACTTCTATTTTGTACACTAAAGTAAAAATAGAAGAATAGGGTTGCCATACATCCTGGTTTGGTCGGGACAGAACCGATTTTGAGTATGGCATCCTGGTGTCCCGATGTAGCGTTTCGAGACTGACAATTTTCCCGGAATGACACTTTAATAACGTATGTTTGAATTTTATTAAGTTTGAAAAACCATAATATTATTGTCATGATAAAATAAATAATAAATAAATAAATAAATAAATAAATAAAGTCGAACAATTTACTGTCGAAATCTATTTTTAATTATTTTCCCAACTAAGCGACTATTATTCTTTGTCAAATAAGTTCTTCGTATTTCCATTTCCTCACGATAGTTATCGCTAATCGACCATTATTTAATATTTTGTTAGTTGTAGTGAACTAATCACTGTAGCGTAAGATAGTTAGTTATATTGTTGTCAATGTTTATTTCAAATCTTCCATCACTGATGGGGATGCCATAGAAGTAAATAATTAATAAGTAAATATATTTTTGTAATAATTGTATCCTGTATAATTAAAAAATCAATAAAAATGTATGTCAATAAGAAAAAATTAAAAAAAAAGTTTGTCCCGGTTTTCATCAAATAAAATATAGTAACTCTACAGAAGAGCTCTATGAAATAAGTATATTTAATAAATAAGCTACTAAAATTTAAATTATTATCAAAAAAGTTAAAAACTTTTTTCAAGCTATATGAGACCAATAATTACATATGCATGGTTCTAAACGAAAGGTAATAACAGCAAACTGGCAATATTAGAAAGAAAGGTACTCAGAAACATTTTTGGCTCAATATACAATATAGAGTTAGGAACATTCGAAAGAAGGAAAAATGACGATCTATGCAGACTATATGGAAAAACTAATATTTTATCATATACGAAAATCAAGAGAATGGAATGGTTTGGGCATGTATAGAGAGCTGATAATGATATCATAAGAAAAGATCAATAGGCAGACCACGAATAAGATGGAAAGATGCGGTATAGAATATTATCAAAATCTTGGGAAGAAATATATCGGTTGACGTAGCATTCAACAGGGAAAAAAGGAGAGGATTGCTTATGGCAGCTCAGGTCTTACAGGAAACGTTAAACTAAAAAAGAAGTAATGTAATGATTTAATATGTATAGTTTATGATTTGGCAATGTGTTGCCAATATTCGAAAACGTTTTGGTATGTAGAGGTAAAAATACCCATGAAGTGATAGAATAAATCGTAAGAGTTAAAAATGACGTCCGTCCCTGCATTATTGTCTATAGGTGTTAAAACGTAAATCTCAAGTGATTTATTCAACATTTTAATTTCATAATTTCTAACAGCATCATAATCAGATTTGAATAATTTTATATTAATTTACAAAAAATTGAATTTACAGAACTTACAATATTTGGAATTGCCAATTCAACCTATGACATCCGATTCTTTAATGACGGAAAAAAATGAAATTTCAACGTTGCAGTTACCATGGTATTTTAAAGGTAAATGAATCTAATGATCATAATCATAATCATCGTTGAATAAATTAATAATATTTTTTTTAATTCAATGGAGCTTGAATGCTAAAATCCAAAAAAAAAAAAACTTGAATACTTAGATTTAAATTGAAGTATAATTAGGTCTATCCATTCAAAATTTAATTAATGAGATTTTCGATAAAAGTTTATTAAATATCGTATAGGAAAAATGTTTATCGTAAACCAGGTAAATACATGTTTAATACTATTCAAAATGTATAATATCGAATACAGCTTATTGAAAAACAACATGCATACCACAGATTTTTTTAAAATATAAAGATAATGAACATATATGGTAGCTATATTAATAGGATTATAAATTTTAATTTTCCTTACCACTGAATACTAAACATAAATATTATATTATTATTACTATTGATAATAAAGTAAATATATTTAATACTTATGCTTATTTGTTACGTATGTAGATGGTGTGCTACGACCAACTAGAGCTCAAATAAATCCTAGGACTGGACAGAGAACGAGTCAAATATGGCCTAAGGAACAAAAGGATGGCGATCGCATAGAAGATCAACTTATGTTTGTGCCCCCCAATTATCAATACGACAATGAACCGATGAAGACAATTTTGCTCTACAACGGTTTGAGTAACTGGATGGTGGACGACGGACAAAACGCATTTATATCGAAACAATGTCCAGTGAACAGATGTAAAATTACAACTAAAAAATCGGAAGCTCCAGACGTGGACGCAATTTTGTTCCGTGATCATTTTACACATCCCGGTCATAGAAAAACCGGCAAACAGGCAAGATTTACAATACTATAAAATATAATAAACGTTTTTTATTACCAAAAATAGTCGATTCCCATTATACCTATTATGGATTATCATATATCTTATACGGTTTGTATGTTACGAAATTTACGTCAAATTTTCCATTCGTAATACAAACAATTTTAAAAGCCTATCAAAACCAATTCGACCAGAAATCTATGCTGCGTTGCCCTGAATTCATATTCATTTTTCGGTTTACTCGTATACATGTACCAATGCTTTTAAGTTTATTACAGACGTATCCGCTCTAATATCGTTCAACTCTTTTACCTGACCCGTGAAATCTAATAAATTGCTGGATGTTAGATTTTGATTTATATTTTTATATTTTATTTTGCAGGTATGGATTTTATATTTCCTCGAGTCACCGTACCACACGGAACTCATTACTTACAATGACGTGTTCAACTGGACGGCTACTTATCGACACGACAGTGATATCGTAACACCATACGAACGATGGGCGTATTACGATCCGTCGGTAACCCAAGTCGAACGACTAGAAAAGAATTATGCGTTCAACAAGACGAAAAAAGTCGCATGGTTTGTGTCGAACTGTGGTGCCAAAAACGGAAGACTGCAATACGCTAGAGAGTTGGCCAAATACATATCGGTAGACGTGTACGGTGTGTGCGGACCCTTCAAGTGTCCCAGGTCGGATAAGTGTTTCCAGATGTTAGACCAGGAGTACAAATTCTATTTAGCTTTCGAGAACTCAAACTGCGTCGACTATGTGACGGAAAAGTTTTTCGTCAACGGACTTCAGTAAGTTCGTTATTGAATTATAGATATTTAAGAAATCCCATCTGCTCTGATTATATTTGTTAATTCGATTGAACTCCGGTTTGACCGAACTTAAAGAAATCTACTCGGAGTACTTCGTACAACAATAATCACAAATAATATGGCAAAGGCGCGTTAAACAAATACTAAGCAACCTCGTATACTTTGAACTTTGAGCTAGCTTTTTAGAACCCTTTTATTATTTTATTTCTCTTTAATGTTTCACTACTTCAATGCGAAAGTAGTTAAATTGAATGGTTAAAAACATTAACCGTATTTTATTGGCTATGATTATTAATAAAAAAATAATCAAAGCACAAACGTTGATTTCTTTTTGCCGCCCATCAAAAATAAAAAAATGTGTGATTAACCGAACATAATAACAACAACCGATGTTATACTGTGTCTGCACACGTAAGTTTTGTAAAACACGCGATAGTTAAAATCTAGCAGTATTGAAATAAGACTACAAATAAAACATGTAATTATATTTGGTTTTTTAAAATTGCTCCCAAATAGCTGTAGCCGTGATTTAACATTGTTTCAGAGTTGCTTACACCGAACCTCATTAAAAGGGGTGATATATATATTGGCAACTATAACGCAATACTCAAGTGTTTCGAAAGTTTACTAGTGATTTTCCAGACACTAATAATGGTCGTTGAAAACAGAATAAATCGTTTCGAAAACATTTAATACTATTATTGCGTATAAATTGATGGTGAAACAACTGGTCTCGATGGTCTTAGAAGTGGTTTTCATACCAGCGGTGCACACTTCAGTGTTTACGTATCGCGTTTTTCTGAACTTTTTGAACTCGATTAAAAACGTTTTTTCTTCGTGAATATTTTAAACCGTCCGGTCGGTTACAGTACGTAGTAAAGACCGGGTAAAATGGGTGGGTGGGTGTAGCACGATAAGCGTTGATCGGGGAACGATCTCGACGATAAAGGGAATTTCTCGCGTTGCAGGCACAACGTGCTGCCGATCGTGATGGGCGGCCACCGGGACGACTACGAACGGATCGCGCCGAAGCGGTCGTACGTGCACGTGGACGACTACGAGTCGCCCAGACGGTTGGCCGAGTACCTGCACCGTCTGGACGCGGACGACGACCAGTACAACGAGTACTTCCGGTGGAAGGGCACCGGCGAGTTCATCGACACCAAGTTCTTCTGCCGGCTGTGCGCGATGCTGCACGACGACGGAGCGCCGGCCAAGCACTACCGGAACGTCAACGACTGGTGGCGCGGCCCGGGCGTGTGCAACAACGCGATGCCGTGGCGGAGGTTCATCGAGTCGTCCGACGATGGCGGTGACCAGGCGTCGTCGATAGGTGGCCGCGGCGGTCAATAGCGTTTGCCACAGGCGGCCGCCGTGGCGTTGGACTTCATCACCGGACGCCGCAGCCGCCGCCGCCGCCGCACCGGCCGACTCGGCGAGGACCCGTTGTCGCGGGCCGACGACGACGACATCGACTTTTGGGCGCCCGGCGGCGCGGCCCCCGTGCAACCGCCACCGGCCACCGGAAGAGCACCGCCGCCACGGTCACCGCCTCCGCACCAGCGGCCGGTCGCGCGCAAACCAGGGCCTTCGCCACCTCCGCCGCACGTGCGTATGTCGAGCGCTTCGCGGAGACGTCGCAGGGGTCGGCGAAATTGACCTAACCACGGCGGCCGCGTTAGACCTTAACCACAACTCGTGTTCCGTTCGCCGAAGTTACGTTTCTTTGGTGTTGAGACATGATGCGTTGTGTATTCTAATGTGTATTTCACAGAGTTCTCAAATCCTCCCCGACCCTTTACCGCCTGCCAACGTGTTTCACGGCCGAGTAGACGCAAAACGATTGCGGTCCGACCGACCCACCGAGGGCTGACTGTGTACACGCTGGGTATCGGAAAACGCGGATACTCATCCGGAAAAAATTGGATAACCGAATGCAAAAAAAAATAGAATTTATTTTTTTTTAAGTATTTTTTTTTAGGTATTTAATACCTATTTACGTTTAGCGTTGCACATCTCAAGCAACCTGTGCCAAACGAAAAATAGGAATCTGATGTAATGTAAATTCTCGATACAATTACGAATACGAACCGAAGTATGGTTCGTTTTACTGTATGGTTTGGAAAATATAATTAACCGATTTTCAGCGACAGACACAATTTTATAAAGTTACATTGTTGTACGGCAACCGTACTGCTATAGGACCAATATTCCTTATAATGTTATTCACATAAATACTGAAACCTTAAAATTATTGTAGGATTACGATTATAAATTACTTCCGTAGTATTTTAATATAAACTCGTTGGTAAAAATTGCATTTATATTACGTTACATTTTTTTTTAAATAAATCTGTAAATATTAAATCATGATGAAAATGTTACCTAGTGATAACCGATGACGATTGACAAGCGACTTGCTAGTATATACATCCGAAATAATAATCACCACAGCTAGTTAATACCCCTCAACTACTACTTTCCCCATCCTACCACAACCAAAAAACACACCATCGAAAACGGATATGTTTTTAGTTAATTTTGTTTCGACTTCATATCTTGAATAAATGATAATCTTCCGAAGTTACATCGGTCTAATTGTCTTCCATCGGAAAATATTATTAATAACGTTCTGTGTAATATAATTATTATTTATTATTAATTATTAATTATTAATTATTATTATTATTATTATTATTATTATTATTACTATTATTATTATTGTGAATCTTAAACAAATCATCATAATATCGACTGAATTATAGACTTAAGAAACTCATTTTTTTGTGGTAAAATAATTAATTAACTGCATTATTTTACAGAAATCCATTGCAATAATGTAGAACGTTGTAGCAATATACATTATAATATTATACATACATAGTCTTTTATAAGCAACAAGAATTTTTGTACATAATTTGTACATTGTAATGTCTATAGGCTATAATTAATTATTGTTATGAAATAGTACCATTGCACAATTAATCGTTTTGTACCTCCTGTGATAACAAAGTGATATTTTTTTATTCACGAAAATTGTAGGCGCAAATAATAACATTTACGCCTGAAATATAACATGTTATCCTCTTCCAATGCGTGTCTCTTCGGTCTTCTCTAATATTACATTTATTGGCTTAAGTTAATAATGTATTAGTATGACGAAGCCGAAATGGTGTGGCTGGACGTTTCGTGTACTACATGGACCGATTGTGCCTTTTTCCCCTAATCTTCTGCCCAGCTTCTTCTGACTACTATCTCGAAGACACGGATACGACCCATTTTTATGACAGGTATAGTTAAAACATTCCAATAAAACGATGCATTTGAAGTATATAAATAAAAACAACGTGTTTCGTTAGTAATTATTTTATGTATAAAATAATTTACCAAACTATATGTGAATCGGAACGTATATGAATAGATAAACTTTGAGAAAATAATAACTATTAGCATAGTTTTTGTGATAAATATAAATTAAACATTTAGTATACCGTCTATTTTGCCGTTTTATCAGTAAAAATGTAATTAGAAAAATTTTTAATTGTTAACGTTATACTTATCTATTATTATGCATGAATAAAATAAAATTTTCAATCGAAAAATTTATCAAACTCATTAAGTTTAATAAATGTTTCAAGGGTAAAAGACATTTTTAATTTAAGATTAATGCTTATTTCATTAGAATATATAGTACATCTATTAAAGCTTGGTAATCTGTACGTCCGATTGTTTTAAATTAATATCGAAAATGTTCACCCTAACCTAACCCCGTGTTCTCCAGCAAGAATACGTGGTGATTTAGACATTAATTGGAATAATTTAACTTACTATAATAATCAGATAAATCTACTATTAAGTTATTAAAAACATATATTGCTTTAAACATTTTCAACGCATTCAAATTGCTAGTTTTTTTCGTTCATCTAATGTCTGAAGGAAATCATAGTTTCTTTTATAAATCTATGTCAACATTTTAACGAAATTGACCCTGTCATTGCATCAAAGTATAAAACCGGGCGCCCACCGAATTAATGTGACGTATGGCATAGCAAGTGATGTAACAAACGCGTTACAAAATTACGTACGGTGTGACACAACGCCTACCTAAATATCTTGTAACTATTAGCACTTATACCAAGTTATTACTCAGTTGTCAATATGTCTTCGACATTAGACGGTGAGAGTGTTTTAGAATTAGTGAATTTAATAAATCTAAATAATGAAAATAATAAAAAAAATTGATCGGGTTCATCCATATTGGAAAGAAAATCAAAAAATTAAACATGAATTGGCCTCAATAATACCAAAAAATATATATTAAAAACTGAATCATTTTAAATTTAAAAAAAAAATAATACTTTCAATCTTTTACAAATTAATATAATGATTAAATTTAAATTTCCAAGCACTTGTCATTATAACAATATTGCATGTGGCATAAAATGGAACATACTGCATTTTATTGATACCGACGTATATGCGTATACGTTTGTCATATCACTTTCGTTTATTTTAATTTATTATCCCAGTTTAATTAGCGTTAAATATATTTTGTTTATAATTTTGATACAAATATGCTACTTCCTACATCAGTTGCCAAGCCACACGTCATGTTATTTTGGTGGACACTTGGCCTAAAATTAATAATTTTTCCATCCATTTTGATGACTTATTTTGTGAATAAGTAACTTAAAAATAGTTAGTGGATTCATTTGATTAATGTATAAAATCATGTGGCATGATTAATATTACTTGTTAAAATACATAAAATATAAATTTTTACACACATTAATTGTCATTATTTATATGCCTTAAAATGTTTATCTGAAAACACGGATATTATGTAATATTTATAATAATTATATTATAATTATTATTAAAAGCATATGTTCGTTGTATCTATACACACACACACACATACAAATGTTATTTAGCTCTATGAATATTTTATATTATGTGATTATTTATACTATAAGCAAATATATACCATGAACATAAAATATTACAACTTTATTTTTTCATTGAACTCATGCAAAAGTATTTATTTCGTTCTAACAATAACATAATGCCAATATTTTTTTTGGTCAACGTGAAATTATTATATGGACTTATTCAAATGAATGCTTAAAAATATTTCAAAATATAAAAAGGTTTAACTTAGTGGAATTTTAACCAGGAAAACTTCTCTACTCAGTCTCTGAAGTATAAAGTAAAAAACGAATGAATATTTCTTGGATTATATTATTACAACTTTTGTTTACGCGTACTTGGAATTTTATAAGTTTGGAAAAGAAATATTAGGGAATTTATCACTTGTACTAAAAATGGAAATTTATAAGAAAAAAAAATTAAAAAAACTAAAACCATTGTTTGTGTCATATACACAGATAAACCATGCTTGTATGTATGACCGTTTGTAAAATGCATCAAGAGAATTTAATGTCCATAAATATATATAAATGTAAAAATAGAATCTTTGTTACGCATGTTCTCTGTAACTACTAATTCGATTTTCTGGATTGTTTTTATCTTGGTTGAAAGAGTTTATCACGGAAAAGGATTTAAGCTTGATTTCAATTTTTTTAAGTTGATTGAGTAATTATTAATTTATAACTGTGTAATTTTTAATATTCCACGGCGCAACGCGGCAAAAAAAAATACAGATATGTGCGCTCCCCCACAGTCAGGCGTCCCCGTTTTTAACCGGCTAACACTGCCGCCGACACCGCAAATACTTATTATAGATCATACAATGAATTGTGACGATCTATAATAAATAATATACCTAATAAATAAATCCGTTTATATTTAATCATAATTTAAAAAAGTGAAAATGTTTCACCGAAATTGCTGTGCCGCTTTATTCCAAAGTTCTAGATCCACAATCGGCGAGGCATTTATAATTTCATAAATAATGATTTAATAGGAAGTAGGTGTATGAACAGATTAATTTATTAAAAATAAAAAATTGTGTAGTATAATATAATAAGGATAATAATCAAATCATTACAAAACAAATTAACTATCAATAATTAGTTAGCAATAAGTAATAGGTATGATTGAATTCGAAATAACACAGAGCGAAGTAGTTCAACAGAAGCAAACTTTAAACTATAAATCGTTCGACGGGCTCGTTTCCCACATGAGGATACGTCATATCCGTACGGATTTTAATTGGTAGTAAAAACATGAAAGTAATTTTGGCTTTCACACGGATCGGTGGACGGATTTTTTTTCCGTACAAACGAAGTCGTTGTGTGTGAAACAGGTCTCAAGTGTACAAGTTGAAAACATACAAAAAATTAATGAATTTATGTGATATATATACAGTTGTTCTTGGAATCAATATAATACCGAGAAGTTTCAACTACATGCACAGTATATAAATTGTAAAATTATATATTTTTAAATTAATCGTATATTATATTAAATAATTGTTGAAACTAATTGTATTAACAGAGTTTAAATAATAAAAAAAAAAAAAAATTAATCGTACCTGTGTGTACATTTATTGGAAAAATTATTTGCAATCAGTTTTTTTGTGTCGTTAAACAATGAAAGTAATCAACATACAATGTGAACACGAAAAAAAATTATTTTACACTTAAACAACAATTCTCATCTGTAAATTAGCCTCTAAGCATTAAACTGTTGTTTAGTCGTAAATAATAACTTTAGCGTGAGTGAAGTTAGATCAAATATTACTAAAATCAATAAAATTAACCAACATTAACACATTAATTAGAGTATAAATGTATGGTGGTGCGTAACTATATGGTATTTTTTTTTGCCGAACACGTTTTTGCGTGCATCAACCTCTTCACATAAAATCAGTCCTTGAGTATTGATGATATTAATTCTTATGACCACTCAAAAAAAAAAATAATATTATATTTATTTAGAGGATACGTATCAAGATTTTACATTTTTTAAAAACATTGGTGGTTTTTCAGTGAAAAATATTGTACCAAATGAACATACCATATGATATGATAAAATAATAATTCGGAAACAAACATGAATATTTTATTACGCGAAATTTAAACAAAAAAACATATGTCATTAAGAATAAATTATTTTAGTATACACGAATACGTGACTATCTTGTATACCGCAGTTGTCTAAACATATGATTATAACATATGTGAATATTAGTCGTGTACAATTTTTTAGATACACTAGTGTTATTACACTCATTAAATTAATTTTGAATGCATTGAAAAGCTTTAGAGTTGGATTAGTATATTATCCTGTTTAAATTAAGTTTATATTTATAAATTAAGAATTCTGAATTTTTAAACGTTTCCATATACTTGTAGCAATTATTTACAATTAAAACATAAATATGAAAATAAATGTGAACTATCGTAATTTAAGTCGATTTCTTAAACTATTGTTAGTCCTCGTCGTTTTTATCGTTGTAGTCTATAGCGTTTTCAAGTCTTGTTGGATAATAAGAGAAAAAAAATACTCAGATAAATCGCATTCAAACCAACAGAAATCAGACGTAACCCAAGAAGATTACACACAGGTAAATAATAAATTATAGTTTATTATTTAATTAATAATTTATTAATTTCTAAATTATTAATAATAATTATTTAATAAATATAACTCGATAAACCAATCGCTAAATATTATACTAATGCCAAATGTAATTATTCGGGAAATCCCTTAATGTGGGTTTAGAAAGTGCGAAATTGGATAACGGTATTGGTTTATAATTATTGAAACATAAATATAGGTATTTAAATTGTTAAAATTGAATATTAAAATGTATACAATCGTTGAACTTACAGAGCCCGCCCACTTTAGAGTCCTCAATTATAAACGTTACACCAGTCCCTGTTATTAATTGGAACAAAATTTCAAAGTCACGTTTACCATGGTACTTCAAAGGTATAGAATATTCAATTAAATAATTTTTTTTATATTTTAATGTAAACGTGGTAAATTATTACACGCAATGTTATGTTTCGCATTGGTTGACACCGCTTTAATAATAATTATTCATTGTCATATTCATACCAAATAACACACTGGTTGTGTTAGATGGTTTAAGGTACCCCGAGAGAGATCTCGTGGACAACAAAACTGGAGTTCGGATTTCAAAATTATGGCCGGAGGAACACATGCTTGGTGATCGCGTGGAAGAACAGCTTATGTTCGTGCCACCACATTACAAGTATGAAAACGCACCGTTAAAAAATATTTTACTTTACAATGACCACAAGAATTGGATGATAGAAGATGGTCAGATTGAATTTCTTTCGAACGGCTGTCCGGTAGATAGATGCAAGATTATAAGAAATGCCAAGTATTTATATGAAGCGGATGCAGTTGTGTTCCGCAACAATTTTATCGACTATGAACTGTCCACGAGTATTGCAAACCAAGTACGGTCAAAAATATTAAAAAAAAACAACATATGCTTAGGGTATCATTTCACATTTTTTCATGGGATGCAAAACCAATATTGAAAATCTAAAGTAATAGGTACCAGTTGCTCGCATGGTCGAGTCATCCCATGAATTTTTTTCGACAGCTTTTTTGTGTAAATGTAGATCATTTCATAGAAATTATACTATAAAACAAATAAAAATAATTTTGTTAACAAAAATGGTTTTTATTTTGTTTTAACACAAAATTATATGGATCACTACAGCAAATTGTTCAATAATCAATTATATCAGCGATTTCTAAACTGTGCACCGCAGTGCCCTAGGGGCACCACGACCATTTTCTAAGGGCACCGCGGTCTACGTAGAGTTTATAACAAATAGTTTAAAAAGTATAAAATTTTTTTTCCTTATGGTTTTCGTAAAAACTTTATAACAAATAATGTAATATTTTCTATTATATATTCGGATATTCTCATTTTAACCTTATAATAATTTATATAATAATTATAATTATAATAACAATAATTTTTATCTATTTATTTTTTAAGTTTAAAAATGCATTGATTTATAATAATTATAAATAATTAATAATTAATTAATTATTAAGTTAAATTTTAATAAAATTAATAAAATTGGTTATCAATAGGTTTTTTTTTTTGTTCTGTAATGTAGTTCACAGCAGGGTACGGTGGGTAAATTGGATCCAAAAAAAGGTACCGCTGAAAAAAAAGTTTGGGAACCGCTGAATTAGATAATACAACTGATCAAAACTAACTTTATTCGATAATTAGACGTTTCGATGAACTAGTTCATGTTATATTGGTGATCAAAAAAATATTGTGAGTGTTAAAAAAAATTCATGGGATGCATTTGCACACCCTTGCATCCTGCAAATGACGCCACTACATATGCTGTTGTAATATTAATTCAGTTTTCAATTGTTCATCCCACAATACTTTCCGAAACGGATCACTCAATATTATGTGTGTTCATTGCAGGTACGAATATTTTACATCCAGCAGTCGGCGTACTACACGAAACTTGACAATATTAGTGCAAACTTCATTAACTGGACTGTGTCGTATCGACACGACAGTGATATTGTTGTACCATACAGGCGATGGGCATACTACAACAATCCATTGGTGACCCAGAGAGAACAACTGCAACGTAATTATGCACAGAACAAAAAAAAATTAATTGCGGCGGTCATAATGGAGTGTGATACGGACAATGGCAGAATATTGTACGTGCGCGAGTTGAATAAACATATCGCAGTAGATATTTATGGTCAATGCGGAGATTATAACTATGTAATATCGGATACGTTCTTTAAAATACTGGGACAAGATTACAGATACTATTTGGCTTTCGAGGATTCGAATTGCATTAATTACATAACAGAAAAGTTTTTTGTCGAGGGACTTGGGTAAGTTTGTAATATATGAAAAAAAAATTAATACAATTTTGTAAATATAATGTGCCCACTGGCTACTATAATATTTAACAGTTATAACTGACGGACTGTGCACTGAAGAAACTATTTTTAAGAAACCAATTTCATGAAAATAGTTTTATGAAACTTATTTCTTATTCGCCGTACACCGAATAAACTAATAAACTAAAAATATATAGTTTCAACAATGTCGTCTGATAATGAGCATGTGTTGATGTTATATTGGTAGCTTCATAACAAAAAAAGGAAATATAGATATTGGGTTCATCTACTTTTAAAATATAAACAGCATAGTACATATCTAGTTGCTAAGGAATTAACCGCCGATTTAAATTAAAAGTGAAAATAGATGAAAATAAGTTCCAAAATTTCCATAGAATGTCTCAAGTTGATTTTCACCGTTTAGTTCAGTTAGTTGGACCGTATATAACAAAAACATGATAATAGTAAACAATGATATCAGAGATTATTCAATTTTGTTTACTTAGTAAAGTAGTAAATCCTTTGATACATTTTTTGCATATTTAATAAAACTTCTATATACAATTTACGAAACTTTTTTATTGAAACCAAAATCACAAGTTTCATGAAACAACAGTTTCATAAAACATGAGTCATGAAAAAAGTTTCTTCAGTGTGCATCCCAAGGTATCTGATGGTATATTTCAATCGAATTTGTTTGACATTAGTTTATTATATGACTATCATCAGAGTTAGTATTTATAGAACAATAAATATGCACGTGTACCCGTTTTATCCGTTCGAACATTCGTTGGTTACCAGTAAATAATTATGATTGATGATACTTATATTTGATAGATTTATACCAGTCAGTATTCAAAAAAAAAAAATAAGAAAATTTTGTTATACAATTAAGAATTCATTTAGGTCTCTACAAATGAGTAGTATTCAAGTAATACTACACTAGGTGTTTTTAAATTGTAAATGGTATTATAGTCCATTTAATTGTTAAAAATTCGTTTGGAAACCGTGAATTGTACACGCTCGTAGATTTAGAGCTTTCCTAACTGGTGTTTTAATTCAATTTAATTTTCGATTTTTTTCTAGTCTAAAATGAACGATTCCACAAAATGAAAGCACGTAAAAACGAACTTATTTCGGAAAGCCGATTAACCTTTGGGGAAGGGTGATTAACCTACTTCAAAATAATTGTGGCTTAAATAATGTTCTGTTAAGTGGTATAACATATATCTTATATTTATATATGTATTCATGGTTACTAAAATACAATCTTTGGGGAGGTATGTCATATGTACCCCTCAATTTCGTACCCAACACAGTGACACATCTTCAAGATAAGGTATTTTACAGTGGCGTATGCAGAAAATATTTTCGGGAGGAGCTACTATGGACAAAGTTAAATTACCACTGCTATTTAAGAATTACTAACAAGACACAGTAGGTACTTATCTACATTTCATTTACAGAATGTCCCAAAACGATTTGACGTTGGACAAAAATTCTAAATAAGCATAAAGTACTATTAAAATATAACATACGTTTAAAATAATTTGTAAGTTTTTTAAAACATTTCGGAGGGGGCTGTATCCCACAATCCCCCCCCCCCCTATATACGCCACTGGTATTTTATATAAAATAATTATTAAAAAAAAAATTAAATATAAAGAAAAAACCTCATCATACTATGGATTTTCTTGAAATATGCGATAAAATCCACAACATTTATTAAATATTATTATTACCATGATTATTATAACAATGATCGAATAATAGTTATTGTTATTATTAATCTACATTTTCCCCAAAAAAATTATAAATTACACAAATTGTCTCCTCAAACATTACAATTTTATATTCATCATTAAATGCATACAAATTTAAAAAGTACAGTATTTATCTGTCTTGATAAAAGAAAAGAAATTAAATATAAATCGTTGTAAAAAATTAATTATTATTTTATAACTTTATTCTAAAATATTACTAAAAACTTAAATTAAAAAAAAGTACATATCCATATATATATATATATATATATATATATACGGACACATTCATGGTTTTACTTGATAATGTCTGGCCCTAAAATATTTTATACAAATACAAAAAAAAAAAACATTAATAGTTTACTCTAAAAAAACGAAAGTGCGTAATTAAAAATAATATATATCCTATACATAGAAATATAGAAATGTTACATGACAACTTTATCCACAATTAAGATTCGTGTTTTATTTATTATATTATTTGGATTTATAGTGAAGAAACGTATTATAATTTTACTCACATGGCCCAACATTATAACTTCTGACCAATGACATAACCAGGATTTTTAAATGAGAGAGAATAAACATTTTTATTTGGCAGTTTAGGTAAGAAATATTTTGAGAGTTCAACCATTACCCCTCACTACCAGATTTAAAAATGTATTCCCGGTATTTGTAAATAGTTTTAGTAATATTTATTAAAATACGATGATAAATTAACGTAGATAGAAGTAATACGCTTTAGAGCTCTGCATTGTTTGTTTTAGACCAGTCCGGACCCGATCATGGTACGGTATTTTTCAGTCTTGGTGTTTTTGTCTAAAAAAAAAAAATCAATCCAGTCTGGTCCGTCTACCTTCAGCTTAATAAGACAATAATGGTTATAATTTTAAACACAATAATTTAATATGATTTTACATATATACATTACATAGTAAAATAATACCCAACATAATAATATGTTATTTTAACTCACATTATAATGTATTGGGACACTAAAATAGCTCGTCATGTTTCTTAACTTTAAATATCGGTTCGATCTCGGTCTTTTTTAGAACATTCTAAATCAGTGGTGGCCAAACTTTTTTTCCTCGGGCCATAAAAAACAACTTTTTTATCGCGGGCCATAAAAAAATGCATTCTAAATTTTTTTTTACGTAAATGCAAAATATTACAGTTATACAAATAAGTGCTGTAATATAAAATACTTTCACGGGCCAGATATTAAATGATGGCGGGCCGGAGTGGGCCCGCGGGCCGTAGTTTGGCCACCACTGTTCTAAATGATACGGTCCAGCCCGGTCTGGTTTCATTTATATGATTTCATCGCTCTGGTCTGAGTTAAAATGTATCCGTCCGGTCCGGTCTTTAAAAAAAAAAACGGACCGTTCAGAGTTCTGATTCGCTTATGTGTTTACCAATGACAAATACCCGTTATTCGTCAACATTTAGTTAGTACCTAAGCTCTAAAACATTTAATTACCAAATAATAGCAAACCGGTTCAGTACGTATACATAAACACAACCCATAAGAAGAGGGGCTATAGCCCCTTTAGTCCCCCCCTTGGCTACACCATTGCTTCTGGCCTCCCATCGGCACTACCGGGCAAAATATCCCGGCACCGTCACCGAACCGTGCATTTAATCTAATCTGCGGTCATATGGTGTACACACGCAGATACGACATGTTGCCGATCGTGATGGGCGCCCGCAGGGAGGACTACGAGCTGGTCGCGCCGCACCATTCGTACTTGCACGTGGACGACTTCGAGTCGCCGGAGGAGCTTTCCAAGTACCTGTTCCGGTTGTCCAACGACGACGAACTGTACAACGAGTACTTCCGGTGGAAGGGCTCCGGGGAGTTCGTCGACACCCGATTCTTCTGCCGGCTGTGCGCCATGTTGCACGACGAGAGCGCTCCGGTCAAGCACTACCATAACGTCATCGACTGGTGGCGCAGGCCCGACGCGTGCGACCATCAACCGGCGAGGCGATGGAAGACGCCGGGCGAAAACTCGTCGCAGCCGCCGGAGGTACGGAAACAGTATTCGCTGTCCTAGCCTCGAGTGCAACAGTTGTGCGATCCGTACGTTTACACGCGTACACAGCACGGACGGATCACTGCGCAAACGAACCGTACGAATTCTTTACACCCCATGTACAATAATAATATGTACCCCTGCAGTTAACCAATACATTTCTATGTTTTCTATATGTATACGTGTGTGTATGTGTATGAACGTGCGGTGGTAGCTCATCGGTAACTAATTAAAAAACCGCCACTTTTCGAGACCTCGTGGTCACCTCGTAAGGCGTCGCTTTGCCGGACACAGAATACCGGCCGAAATGGGACAAATCAGCGCCGCCTACTGGGCACGACTAACTCGGTGCGACCAACTGGACACCAACACCTTAGCGCGAGAAAAAATGGACAACAGGACAGCTGGCCGTGGAGAGACATTTGAAATAATTAATGCTACACATTATTATTATTTTATAATTTTATTTTAATTATTTATATATTCTTTTATGATTTTATATTTACAACGATTCAATTTATTTTAATTTACAAATCAATTTGGTAAATATGCGCAATCTCTTTTAAATAGTCCGCGGTATCCCTACTGTGGTAGTCTCGAACAACCATTAAAATACGTTGATAAGCATCCCTGTACTTTTTTCATTTTACTGGTGTGTTATGCCCTGCAACAAAGTGTTTATAATAAATGTCACGATTGGCTTTCACTTTTCATAAACCGCCTATAAGCTACCAGATTGTATAATAATTTAATAAATATTTTATTTTATTTCAAAAAATATTATTGGTTGTATACAGGCACGTGCACCAAGAAGGTAGGGTTCTACGCCTCCTATTTAGGATCTTATTATATACTACTAAGATATTACTATATACTTTTATATATTGCTATTACTAAAAATACACCTTATCCTCATTCTATAAAAATTAAACCCATTTGAAAATTCATATATAGTTATCTAATTTCGTTTAAATATTGCCAATATTCTCGATTTAATGTCTTTTTCTGTTTAACTCTTGGGCATTTTCCACTTACTGTCAATTATCGTTGTAAATGCAGTCATCGATATAACGTATTATCACTAACAAGTCAGCTGTCCAAGCTGCTTAGACATTTTTCAACATTTTTTGATTGTCGGTCCTGATATTTTTGATCATGGATATTGACGTGATATCAATGTATATTTTTTTTATTGACTTTTTACCTAACATAACATATATAACTTTGAATCCATTGGACGATTCCTGCGCACGAAACTGTTTGTATAACATAATTTTCGTGTTCAGTTGACCGGTTCCACTTGTTCTAATCCTCGGAATACTACGGTAAACCCGCATGTTATTCTCGAGTCTCCAGCCCTCCAATTTATTCTTTAATCAATTGCTTTTAATATAATTTCTTCGATATGTTTTGACTTCTCGACTCATTTGAATAAGCTGCGATATTATTGTTTGCATTTAGTATAATCAATTATACTGTAGTCGTTTCATCAGTGTTGTTTCACTGTTTAGTGACTAACAAAATTACGTTTGTCGTACACTTTGTACACTAAATTTTCGTACTTAAATATATTTATATACTACAATAAACATTGCATGATTTGATAAAAGGTCTGAAAATTTATGTCGTACCTATTTATTATCTTTGATTATGATTTGATTAGCGATTTTCATTTATATTTAACTCATGTTATTGCCAAAAATTTGCAACTCAGAACAAACATTTCTCTCGAATCCGCAGATCATCGCTACAGGTATCTGCGTCAATGTAACGACTTTTATGTTGGTAGTTTTTTATTATTTAAACAAGCAAATAGCTGTACTTGTATTTTTTTCTTTTGTATATATACATAAAAATGTTGTTATCTTTCAAATACATGTATACTTCTTGTAAGGGTACTTTGATTTTATAAACAATCAACAAAAAATATACTTTCATCTTTTAAAAATAATATTATTATATATGCGTATTATATAAATAAAAAAATGTCGTAATAATGATCTCGACTCTCAATAGCTTTTTTCGCACTACAATTTATAAGTGTATTGTAATTTGTAGCTGCCACTTTCAAAATTGTTTGAGATCTACCTACTTACACACGACCTTGATATGACGTAGAGTATTACGTGTGCATTTAAGATTTAATAAGTATATATCCACAACGAACATATATCAGTATAGTGATTATTTTTTTAATTTGTATTTAATGTCCACTACTCACTGTACTCTATGATTCTCTTTACTAATTGCGAAATAGCAACGAAATGTTTTAGAAAATTACGCAAAATATAAAATACAAGTACGAAAAACGACCCGATATATTATTTAAAAGAATTAAAAATGTTACCTAATTAAGTGACTAAACAATAAAACATAGTATAAATAATAGTAAATAGTAATTACACTATTTGTATTTTTCTAACTTTAAATGAAAAATATTTATTTTTAATACATATATTATATATGCGAATAAAATATAATTTTAATGACCATCAAAATTTGTTTAAATTTTATTTTGATAAACGTTTCAGTTGTTTGGCGCGCACAATTTGTATCTAAACATTAATTTCCATCTACTGTTGTCGAATTTTCTTAAAACTATTGATGTTGAATAATTATTATATAAATATTAATGTATTGCATAATAATACGAATTAAAATTATTTTATTTATTTATTTTTGGTCAGAAAAACCTGATGAAACACATTTTGTGTTATACTGTACTTATTGCATATCGCAGGTCTTGAACATTTTATTTTATTTTCCAAAATAATCAGCTGTTTTATTATCAACACTTAAACTTTATTTTTCAGCGTTTAATAGATATACGTTTTCTCCTTCCTATACTGCTCGGTAATATTTAAATATTAAATTTAAAACACAGACGTAGATATAGACATTGATCACACTCGCAACGTCATGTCAGTTAAATAATGTTGCTCGACAACGAATACTAGTACGTTCCACGCATGTTAGGACGTTCGTCATTCGATTTTCATAACAGTCGTGTGATCTCATTTTAAGGTCTATGAGCACAGAATAGTTTACATTTTCGATAGACAAAAAGACAATCCTACCTAATACCTATTGGTGGTTTAGCATAGCTGCTTTCTATGTCGTATAAATTATCATTATCATAAATTCTTAATATCCGTATAAAATATGCAAAAACATATTTTAGACGGCGCTGTGTATAGGCAATCGAGAGACAATTTTTTAAAACGTGCAATATTGTTATTCCTATCGTTCCTGGCAATCATGATCAATTTTTTACAATCTTTGATTTTTATCTTACAACAACATAAAGTTTATATATTTTTACTAATATAAACAAAACAAAAAGTCCGAAATATATTTTAATGGCATACAATAGTTTTTTTCTAAATGTTTTACTCGCAAAACACAGGTTAAATTGATATATTCTTTAAACTGTTCATTTTAATTACTTAATAAAATATTAGTTTTTTTCTAGATCACGTAATCTAGTTTCCAATTCAGTATTTTTATCATAGAGTTCATTAATAATAATGAATCATTTTTGCAATAAACTAATATATTTATTATCCATACTATCTCTATGATTAGACAACTAGACAATTTTGTTTCCAACTTACAGTGGTTTATTTCTTTTCTTGAAAATTATGGATTAGTTCTATTGTATTCTATTGTATTGATATTGGAATTTTGTATATCGATTTCAATGTTTTCTGATTTATTAACATCATCATTTTGTAAATTGATTTCAATATTTTCTTCAATTAACTCATTTTTTTCATCTATAAATAAATAGATATACAATATGAAATTTACTAATGTACTTAATTTATAAGAACATTGTACTGTAGAATCTGTAATAAAATTTAAGTTAAGTAAACATACAGTGGTAATAGTTATTTTATACCTTTTTTTGGATTATTACTATAATTGTTTAAATTATTATTTTCAATAAGTTTCAAATTTTGAATATTTTTGGACAAAGTTTCAACATCTTTAATATTAAAATCTTCAATATACAAAGACATTTTAAGATTATAACTACAATTTTTCGATCCCAATAATTTATAAGATTTTACTTCAATCTACAATTATAATTAAATAATGAATATTGTATTTATTGAAAAATAAGTTATTAAGTAATGTAAAAAATAAAATCAATATAACTTACACGATCATTTGATGTAGAATTCATAATTTGTGCTTCTTTTACTTTTAACATAAGGTAACCAAGTCTTATGTTTGCATTAGATTTATTATTAGGTATATTATAGCAATTTATTCTTATCGATGCATTGGACATTTTTAATCTAAATATAAAACAAAAATTAACTGTAAAACACAAAAAAATAATTAATTTCTTGAAAAAATAAATATTATTCTTACTCTTTTAGAGTAGCATTATCCATATTCCATACCATTTCAGAGGCAAATTTTAACACATTGTTATTACCAGGAATTATCTTAGTTTCTAAACCTTTATTCATTAATGTTCCATGTACCACAATAGATCCTTTGATCAAAGCAAATCCATAACCTAATAAATAACAATACATTTGTAAAATAAATTATTACTTATGTAAATATTTTCTATAAAATTCTTTATTTAAATCTTGTTTATATATTTAAACAGTACAGTAAAATAGAATAATTAAGAAGTAAAGTATTTAAAATTACAGAATGTTTTATAGAGTTAGTTGCAAATAAAAAATTTCGTTTTGATTATTATTTTTGAATTTGTTGGTAAATTTAAACTGATGATAAAAATTATGTTTTATTATTTGAAAATGTACAACAATAAATAGTTTGATTTTTCTAAAAATATATTTGCCTAAATCATAATTTTATATTGAGTAATAATCGTTAAGAATTTAATGTTCAATTTTTAAGTAAATGTATATATTATATTTTAGGGTACAACAAATCATTTTATTTAAAATAGCAATTGTATGGGGTTTCTATAGTCAGTGCTTGATTTGGCAAAAATAAAGAAGGGGGACTCTATTTAGTTTAAAGAAAATAGTGTCCCCAAGACTTGTTAAGCGTTATATTTATAACGTAATAATAGTAGAGGGACGCTAAAATTTTTGAAAATTAGTTGGGATACTCCGTCCCCCTGCGTCCCCCCTCAAGTCAAGCACTGTCCATAGTGATAAAGTAAAAAAAAATAATAAACCTATTAAAATTTATTTTATGTAATATTAAGTAACAAAAGAATACGAGATATAGAAACAAAAATTATAAATAAATTTAACATCATTTAATTCGTACCTACATTTAACAATTTAAGATTTAATATTTGTTTTCAGTAATAGCTATTTATATAATTAGTTAAAAAACATAGATTTCAATCTAAAATTTAAATGCTAAATCAAATATAAAGTCAAATAAATATTTACAACATATTTTTAGATAAAAACCTAGAATAAAATTAATTGTTTAAAATATTTTTAAGTTCCTCATGCCATTTAAATGTTCAAACCTGATACTACTTGTAAAATAATCCTTTTATTTATGAAATTCTTTCCTTGTTGTTTATCTGCCATTTTTTTTTTTATTTATTGGTGTAGATTATTTTTGTATAATTTACCTTTCAAATTAAAGCATTGAAAACCCAATAGTAAAGGCTACATATATAATATATCTTTTATAATAAATAACAAACATTGGTTACCATGAGTATCACCAATGTCTCACATTATGTTTCCTTGTTTACCATGAGAGCTATTGTGATGAGAGATATGGGCGTTGTCACGGGAAAGGATATGAGAGATAGATTCCCCATGGCCTTTTTTTTTTTAGGTAAGATGGATTTTCATGATTAACTGATAAGTGATATTTATTATTTTAATGAAAATTAAATAAAAAAATTTTTTTGTCTAGATATAATTTTCCATGCTAATATGCGATTGGTGTTCAAAATTTGAATTTCAAATAACAAATTAATATCTGTAATCTAATATTATATTGATGTAAAATGTAAACAATAAACTAGTCTCACTATACCATCGATTATATAAGTGATAACATATTTTTGTAATCAACAATTATTGTTGTTAGCAATTCGTATAGTATATCAAGGGTATATTTGTGTTAAGGTCGTGAGAGGAGGGCGAAACTAATTTTTCTTCAATACAAACTTAAAAATAATTTACAGTTCATTACCAACAGCTCATGTTCCTGTTGCTCATTCGATAGAATAAATAAAAATTAAAGTACCAAATTGAATTAAATATTTATTTAATAAATATATTTAAAACCTACTGCATATAAAATAAATATTAACGATAACAACACAAATAGTTCCTATATTAAAATTGTACCTTCAGTCTGAATTTTGTATTAAAAAAACTACAAATAATTACAGTAGTAATAGTACCTATTAATTATTTTTTAAAAACTTTTTAAAAAAAATAAAGATAGGTAACTTATATCTAAATATCTAAGTAGAAAACATTAGGTTGGTAAGTAATCAAGTAACAAATTTCAAATTTTATTTTGGTAGCTCTAGACTCTCTAGTAAATAGTAAGTAAATACTCTAATATTTACTAATGCAATGAATATATATATATATATACATGCAGGGCCATATTTAGGGGGGAGCTACAGGGTGCTGTTGCCCCGGGCGGCTAATTTTTTATATCTTCAATATTTAATGATTTAATATTTTTGAAGTGAAACTTCTTTACAAAATAAAAAAATTGTATTTAGTATAATGAAACGTTTTTTATTGTTGCCCCCTGGTGTCAAATTCCTAAATACGGCCCTGTATACACGAGACAACGTGATTTACTTTTCTATGACAATTTATTTATAAAAAAAAATATGTTAGAAGAGCTCTAATACTACTAGATAACGCTAGGTGTCTTACGTGTACCTATTGAAAATATTTTGTGTTCGTATATCTTAGTCCGTGGTAAAAACCACGATTTAAGGTATGACCAATAGTCACAAATAAACAGATAAAAATAATGATAACTTAGTTTTCCAAAAATGATATGAACATCAAGATAATGGACGCGGTTCGATTTAAACTTTAAAGGATTTTTACTTTTAACTATTGTGTTTTTGTTAATTAATCATAATCATTTTAAACTGTTTCAATATGATCTCTACACGATTTTAACTTGATATTTATCTATTTATTAATTTTGTTAAATTCTTCAATTATTGACTCACAAATTACGTTTGTGAACAATTGTTTGTTATCTACATGTAAGTTCCATTAATAATTTTATATTTTATTTACATAATTGTACTATTAAGAAATTTAAAAACCTTTAAATTATGTTAAAATTTGTAGATTAAATAATCATGGAAGCTAGATTTATGACATATGAAACTATTAGTGCCAAGGCATGTCCTATTCACATTAAATTGAAGTTCCAACAAGCTAAACGAAGACAAGAAACTTTAGATTTACAAAAAGAGTAAGTTTTGAAATATTTTATAGATCCTATTTTTATAGGTTAACCATTAATTTATATATTTAAAATTAACCAAATAGTTATAATGCTACATTTTATACAAGTTATTGTATTAAAGGTTTATTAAATTATATGTTTAATTAAAATTAAATTTATTATAGATTTAAAAAAGAAAATATTTACCCATATCAACTGATTTAATATTTTGTTAGAATTTTTATTACATAATCCATCCAAAAATATTGCATACCTTTTATATACTTTCATATTATAAACATAATATTTTATTTAATGATATAAAAATCTTCTAAATACTTTATATCACAGTTTAAAACAGATAACTATTCTAGGTTTCTTTGGAAAGCAAATATTTGATGTAATCAAAATTTATTCAGTGAATAATTTAGTAATAAATAAATATCAATTCATATTTATTATTTATCATGCATGCTACCAACAAATATATATCAGTGTATGTTCAAGAGCACAACCTTGTAAATGTGTGATCATACATTATTACGCTCTGTTGATGAACTTGCCATACGTCTAAAATGTCTGCTTATTATTGAAAACATGAATGTATATGAAAGATATAATATTATAGTATAGTTATTTGTTTGATAAGTTGTGTACTTATCAATTCAAATATCTTCTATAAGAAACAATTATTCATGGCTATTTATGATTCTTAAAAGTCAATTTTTGATCAAAAATATTTTAAGTATGATGTGAAAATATATTTGCAGGTTTTGTTTTACTTTTGGGATCAAGGCTGGATCAATAATGGGGATAAAGACCCAGTCCGCTAATTGAAAGAGGCCACAATGTATCATTTGCTAACAGATATAAAGTACTGTTTTATTAATTAATTGTAACTAGACTACAATATACAAATATACTATACTAATTTTAATTAATATTTATTACAAATTACTAGTCTCCCTAATATTATGATCATAATCCAGCCTTGATTGTGGTTACAAACTGCTGATAATATTGACCCATATTATTACAAATCTTATGTTAAAATATACATCCAAATTCAATAATGTAAAATGAATACAATTATTGTAGGGGATTGTGTTTAATTTAATTAGTAATCGCACCAAACAAAATCAATGTATGGCTTGTTTGCTAGGGTATAACCATGAAAACTAGTATCTAGTATAATATCTAGTCTTCATGGGTATAACATTAAATTATTGCCTCTGCTAGAATTATGTATTGATATATCAAGAAAATTAAATTAGATTTCATTATTCCTAACCTATTAATATTTTTGCTACAATTTTCAGATAAAATATTATTATCTGATTTCGGGCTTTATTGATATTGGTATATTTAGATTTGGGAAATCTCATACATGAGAGATATTAAGATTTGTATACACTATACTGGTCTTTATTTCGCGATACTAACCAATAATTATACAGTGTTCGTAGTGAATTTGTTGTGAGACTGTTCAAATTTGATTATTATTCAATATTCTTTGTAGTTTTAGTTTACCTTTAAGATTTGTTGAATTTTGGAATGTTTGATTCGTTTTTGTCATAAAATATCTATTATATTGCTATTATATTGACGAAATTCTAATAAAATGGATGATTTCGTACTTAAAGATTTATTGGAAATAATTAATAATCTCGATTCTGTTTTGTTCATGTAAGTAATTTAGTAAATAATATTAAAATCATATTTTTATGTACAATTATTATTATTATATTATTTATTATATATAAGTAAAGTATCAATTTTGAAATGTTCAAAAATTTTGATTAAACGGAAAGAAGCGTCAAGCGTTTTATGCGATAAAAAAAATTCCTATGAGGCTGAATGGTAAATTTTACAGGAGTATAATGAGACCAACTATACTATTTAGTTCAGTGTTGGGTGATGACAGGAGAATAGAACAGAATTGAGTATTGTAAAAATGAGAATGCTTAGATGGATGAGTAGAGTGACAATAGAAGATAGAATAAGGAACAAATATGTGAGATGTTGTATTGGTGTAGTGTCTATAGATGACAAGATGAGAGAAAATAGACCAAGATGATTTGGGCATGTAATGAGACAAGAGGAAACAAATGTAGTAGGTAAGAGTTATTATGAATATAATGTTGAAGAAGAAGACCAAAAAAGAGATGGTTGGATACAATTGACAATGATATGAATTGGTGTGTGTTTAGGGGGTGTAGAAAATCGAGACAAATGGAGGTTTAGGACAAGAATGGCCGACCCCAAATAGTTGGGAGAGATACAAATGAGAAGAAGTTTTAATAAATTATTATTTATCATTTCAAACCAATGAATTATTTATATGTATTATATAATCTAAATTATTATAACAAAACAATTTTTTTTTTTATGTAGAAAACGTGATCGGCAAATTCATGAAAGAAGAAATTTTGAAAATGATGGTTGCATCAAAAATTGGATGGTAGCTATATAAATATAGAAATTCAATATATATATATATATCTTATATATATAAGATTGAATATCTATATAAATATATAACAATATATATAAGATAAAATAATTAAAACCTTTTAGCTGAAAATTAGCTTTGAAATGTCTGATAGTTTTGATAATAGAAAGCATTTTTATTTTAACTCTTAAGATTTTCAAATATAGTCAAACTACTTTTTCATTTAAAACAACTTTTTTATCATGTGCAAAATGTAGTATATAATAGGTATAATAAAAATATAAAATAATAATATTATACAGTAATAAAATGTATAATTATTTATCATCATATCAAAAGTATCAATGTTAGTGAAGATATATTATAATCCACAACAAATAGTATCAAAAACACCTTATTATTTCTGAAATTTTATATTACATTACTTTTGGTAACTCCCAAATATAACTAATAAAACATTATTTATAAACCATTAAAAATTTCTAATGTTGAAAGTTTTAATAAAAAGAGATGGGACTATAATATAATCTTAAAAAGTTCTAGATACAGTATTTTTTAATGTAAATTATGTTCTATTATAAATATTAAGTACCCAATGAAATCTAATTCTTAATTTTAGAAAATATTTAATATTTTAGACTTACATTTATAAATCTAATACTAAATCCTCGAGTGTTTCAATCAATATTGGAATAATATTGAATCTGGAAAATTAAATCAATCATATTAAACTATAAATCATTAAAAAATAAATTTCCCAGATAGAGCTGTAATTGTGTTAGTCTATAAATGAATTAAAAATATTTAATTCGTTTATATTTAATATCATTAATGTAAAACTACTTTTGATTAGGAAATAGATGGGAAAAAATCTGGGACCGTACCCAGTAACGAAGCATATGATATAGCACAATCTATGATGAAATCAGAATGGATGCTTGAAGTACCTGAAGATATTGATAACTGGATTGCGGTATTATGTCCTGATGGAAAACGTTGTTGTGTTATTGCTCAAGATGTATGATAATAATAACTATTAGAGAAACTAAAAAAGTTCACATTATTAAATTATTTTTTATTTTATTTAGAACAAAACAAAAGTAGTTAATAAATTTGGAGCCACAATCAATTATTTCCAGTCATTATTTCCTTATGGATGTCATGTACCAAATAATTGTCCATCACATCGCAAACGTACTGTTCTAGATTGTTTATATAGTTATAAATTAAAAAAGTATTATATTTTGGATATCATTGAGTGGATGGGCGTGCCGTATACAGATTTTGATGTATGTATTTTATATTTACTTCTGTTTTATAATAGCCAATGAATAATTATAAATTTATTATTACATTTTAATTATAGGCAGAATTTAGATTTTACTTTATTCAAAGTAAACTCAGTGAAATACCGGGTATCGATAAAAAATCAGCCAAAAATGTTTTTCCGTTTGAAGTATAACTTACAATATAATATTGAAAAACAGTTATTTTGTAATTTATCTATATTTTTTTTTTAGCTTGCTCCTAGAATGGCTGCTAGTGATTTGTATCCACACCTTTTAGATAAAAGTCAATTTTTTCATGAAAATATTGATTTAGATGGTATTAACTTTTACTATCCGCAAAGTTTGTATACTCCTGGCGAATCACCGTTAGTGCTTTGGCTAAAACCATTCATGATACCTGATGTCTTGAGAAGACCGGTCAATGATCAGTTGGTAGTAAAACCTCCTAATTATGTCAACATTTTCGAATTTAGTCAAAGTTTGAAAAAAAAAAATAAGAGAAACAAAAAGAAAAAAAATGCTTCTAATTGTGAAAAGATGGAAGTAGATAATTTAATTGAGGTTAGTATAATGAATAAAAAGAATGTAATTCTTAATTATTCTAGAAAACATTTTCATTATTACACTGTTAACTGTTTTTATTAAAACCATTGATTATAGAATTAACCATGAATAGTTATCAAAGTTATTAACTAGTTATGAACAAGTTTTATTGTCTGTATTTTACTTAAACTATTAAAATAATTTAAAAAAAAACTGTTTTCATTTAAAATTGCTAATATTTAATTTATTATTATATTTTTTTATAAACAAGAATATATATTTTATTTTATTGAACCAGGTGGAAATGGATAAAGTCATGGATCCAGTTATTGAAAATGAAATGTGTATTGAAAATTAAAATCAGTTTTGTTGTATATTTCATTAAATATTGTTATTTAAGATATTATGTATAATAAAATGCTGTTATATATTTTGTTAACAATTATTTTTTAACCTACAATCTAAAATTTTATATAAAAACTTGTTAATGGATGGCTTCTATTCTCTTTTTTGATTTTTATTTATGTTATACTTACATATCACATTATCACATATGCTTATTATAAATATAAAAAATAAAACTTCTAATTGAAAATAAAAAGAGATTCAAATCAGGTTATAAGAACTATTTACAGAATGTTTAATTATAAAATATTATTTTGTCATGACAAATAATTAATGATAGCTTATAGTATTAAATTAATATTTGTATATGGTAGGTATTATTTGGAGAAAGTTATGTGATTATTTCATTGAGTATTTAATATAAATTGTTGAAATTCATTAGTTAGTTGATTAAGCCTACTCATTCGATCATATGGCAGTTATAATATATGTATATATATTGGTTTCCGACGAGAGTTCTCGAATGAAAAATAACTGCTAAGGCGGCAAAGCTTAAAGTCGTTGACGGGTGCACGGATGATTGTGTTAGAAAATCAAAAATATTTGTTGAAATCTTAATGAATCTCTATCCAGGAGATATTGATGTAAATAAAGTGTAACAGTCTAGCAATCGATAACAACCCATAAATAATCTGACATGCTGCACAATGGTAGCGGGTTCGAAAATCACGGTTAAAACGACGGCGAACACAAACCGGCGTCGTGGAAAAACACAATTATGTAAAAAAACCGTCGTGTTACACTATTGTCAACTCCACTCGAAGCAATAGATATGAGAAAACCGACAAGAAAAAAAAGATTGCGATCTCCTCGGACGAAATGCTAAAAGGCAGCATCACAGATTACATTAATGTAATTTGTTGCAACATTATGTTCAGTGGTGTATTCGTAATTTTTTTCTAGGGTATACTCTCAGCATATAAGTGTTTATTGGTTAGAGGGGAGGGGGCTAAACCCCTTAAAAAAAATGTTCTACCTACCTAAACTCAAAATTACTTAATATAATGGAGACGTGGGATATACCCCCGCCAGACTTTTCCTTAGATGGGGAGGTGTACACTTCAACGAAAGTATTTTTGGGGATTTGAAATGGGCGTGCGCCCCTTTAGTCCCCTTGGATTCACGCCTACTATGGAATTCTAAATTTTAAACTTATCTTTAATTAAATCATAGGTATTTATCATATATGAAACATAATATTTATTTTCATGAAACCTTATGTTTAATTATGTGTAATAATATTTTAGTATTAATTTAAAATAATTTACACAAACATGTGACGAATAAATACTGACTAAGGCTATGGTTACTATGGATGCGAATTCTAACGAAAATGTGTTCTGACGAGTACGTCCGAAACCTCATCAGAACACAAGACGGTTACACTGTGCAGGTTTTCTAATATTCTTACAGTCAGTACGTTTCTGCCACCCAGCAAAGATAGACGAACTTGATGAATTTTATGTTCTCGAAAGTCCGTTAATGAAGTTATCATTGTTAAATGGTGGAAAACAGAGCAAGTTAACCAGTTATTTTCTAAAATATAAAAATATCTCTATTTGGTAATTTTTTTTCTCTCATGTCCCACAAACACTTGTTCTCGTACACGAGATTGTAAAATATCAAATTTGCTAATCTCAATCACGTCGAAATAGACGCAGTTCGCACGAAAAAATCAAAATTGTTTGAACGCTCAACTGTTTCTGACGATATCGTGTATGTTCTGACGTGATCGTCGCTGCTAATGTAAACACCCTCATTGGAAAATACGTGTTTGTTTATTTGGACGAATTCGTCAGAAATCGTCAGAACACATTTTCGTCAGAATTCGTATCCATAGTAACCATAGCCTAAGTGACAAACTGACAACAATATAATAATTAATAATGTCAATATATCCAAAACATCGTAGACAGATCTGTTAACATTGTGATAAATTTATAAACAGAACTTTTTGACTGTTGATGTATTTTTAAAAATTATAATATCCGATTGACAATACAATATCGCACGCGTCCACCGTTATTGTTTAAATTCTGATGTTACAGTATGTAAACGCTCGACAGTTTCCGACCGTCACCACAAATACCTGAAGTCGGGGGAAATTTAATCGAAGTTTATCCGGGCACGAGGCTATTTTTAGATAGTGGCTATATTATATAAGAATAATAAATTCTATACTGTTGTTGTATAATGTATGCCTTATGGTGATGAAAAATTAGAAGCTTGCGTATATCCATGATAGACGAATTTTCTTAAAGGTATACGCATAAATCCAAAAAGAGAGATCCGGGTATATGGCGTATACCCGCGTATACCCTCCAATACACCACTGATTATGTTGTCCAAATGGTTTGTTATCAGTGGTGGCTCGCGCGATGGTGCGACCGCTCTTCCTAAGTACATTTTAAAATCTCAAATATACTTCTTATAGTACTAAATAGGAATCATGATGGTCAGTGCCGGATTACCCATTAGGCGGAGTAGGCGCCCGTCTTAGGGCCTCACTCATTTAAGGGGCCTTGTGAAAATGGAAAACTATTTGTTTTTTATTTAATAATACCTGTATTTTATTTACGAATTTACGGAACAAAAGTCATTATGAAATATAATATATATTAAGTTGTAGGTGTTATACTCGTTTGCAGTAATAATAATACAATTATTTTTAAAAAAAGAAATAATATAATAATTAATCATTTTTCTTGTAAAAAAAAAAATTTAATAAACATGATTTTATTTATTAATAATATTTGGATATTATTAAAGCTGTTTATTTTAATTATTGGACAGTAATGTTTAGGATGTATGTAAGAAATAATTTTGTAGGGCTCAAAATTTTAATTACCTAGGGGCATACACGTAAGCTGGGGGGGGGGCAATTGCCCCTTAGAATAAATTAAGAAGAGCAGTGCACCCTCTGATATTTAACATACCTTGTTTTAAAATAAGTACAAAACAGCTGGTTATAACTACTACTATACAACTTTTTTTTCTAAATCTTAATTTTAAATTTTTGCTTATCTAACAATGTTAGAAAATGAATAATTTTATATAATAAAATGTAGGTAGTAAGCCTGTAATGTAGTTAGCTTCGGACACCCTTTTCGGTAGATATATAATTCTATTTTTGCTCCCCTTATAAATTTCCAAGTTACGCCTATGCCTAGGAGCCCACAAATGTTTAATCCGGCACTGATGATGGTCTATATTTCTTTCGAAATAATTTAAATGATTCAGAATTGTATTGTAAAATAATAATATTTGTAGAAAAATATCATCTTATCCAGCTATTATTTCAATGCAATAAAAATAATCTAAAAATAAAAACGCCTGTAAGCTGCAATAGTGTAACGAGGTCACGTGCATGCTGTATGGTACTATGGTGCGGCGGTCCGAGGTACACACAAATGTGTGGAATACAGGTTATATTGTAGTATTATAATATTGAGATCGACAGCGGCGAGACTACACCATATTATAATGCGATAATTCTCATAGCACATTTTCTGCGGCGTCCTGCGATCTTGTATTTACAGCACCACAAGCTCGATATTTACGTCTAATAATAGCTAAAGAAATTCCGACCGACAGCAATGATTGTAAAGTACTTGTTACCTATATTAGCGATATTTGGGGTATTATTCACATCATATTATTTTGATTGTTTTGCCTATTTGGATTGTAGATTGTATGTGGCGCACAGTGGGAGGAATATGAATTCTAGCTGGCCAAAAACAGAAAATTGAACAATCGTTTTAATTTTTAATTTTTACAAATTTTTATACACAGATACTTGGTGATAGTAAATATAGCACCATCGATAACATTTATTAGGTTTCCGGCGTATCGCGGTGATAAGCGCGGTTTAATGTTTTTAGATTATTAAACTCTGTATATCATTTACGTTCGTACGTTGCAACGTGTTTTAAGCATTTGTCAACAACTGAGAAAAATAATTTTTAAGAATTATTATAATGGACGATCCCGTGTTGACTTTAGATGGTAAGATTTCCATTTTCATTTATTATTTTAATTAAAATAATTCATGAATTAGATCTTAAATAATTAGTTATTAACGTATTAATTTTAGCTTTAATAAAGCAACAAATATTTTTAGAGCCTCTAGAGGTTTGATTTTCTTTTTTCTACAAACCTTAATATATGTACTTTAATATGATATACTAATTATAACCCCCTCAATCCCCCTAACTGAATTATTCATGTTTTTTTTTTTTAGATAAAAGTAGCAATGAACACAATATATTAAATAGTTGCTTATTTGAAGTATGTTTGAAAAATGAAATTTATATTAATGGATTATTTAAAAAATAGACTTGGTAACATTTAGAATGTTGATAATAACAATTTTGAAAAACGTATGTCGAACAAAATTGATGGATTTTGTTGTACTTTGAATAAAAAATGGAAAGAGTCGAACTATTGTATAACTAAGTTTAAAAAAAAAATAAATTTTGGCTACAATTACATTTTAATATTCCTTCCATAAAAAAATGTGATATTTCTTACCAACCTTCGACAAGTACCGGTAGACCACCCAAAGTTTTTTCTGAGCTTAGTGACCGCTCTAAACGTAGGCACGTTAAAAATTTAAGGGAGACGATAACATCGGATGAATTAGTTTACGCTGCAAAATCTACATTATACGTTGAAGGAAAGCGTGCAGCAGCCCATATTATTTCACAAGTATCTGAGTTTTCACCTAAACGTGCAATAAAAATAAGGAAAATGTATACAAATACTAAGTTAAACCTGACACAGAAGATGAGGCTATTGCATTTATGGTTGATACTCGTATGACAAAAAATTTTTACCGTTTCACCCGACTAGGTGCAAAAAAACATTGAGCTGATATATATCCTTCCTATGATAAAATTCGATTGGTTAAAGATAGGTGTTATCCAAAAAATATTGCGATAAGTGTAGTAGGAGCGTCAGTTCCTCTCCAAGATTTATTAGAC